GGAGCTGCCGGGGCTGCTGAGCCACACACCACGAAGGAGACACTGCTGGCCCCGAGGCGCTTACAATGAAATTCAGAAAAACGCAGAAAGTAGGGGGAAGTTGCAGAGAACGAGGGCAGGGAGACAGCAGCAGGAAAGCGGATGCTGAGCTGGTGTGTGGAGAAAAGCACTGATGTCCCACTGGCCTTGCAGTCACCACTTGCCCGTGTCCTCCAGGGAGCGGCTCAGAAGGGGAATCTGCCTCCTCTGAGACCACCGGCAGCCATTGCCCCTGCCCCACGCTGCTCCCCACCACCGTGTCTTCCCTGCAGATGCTGCCTCCATCACTCGTTTCATTGGCTTAGAGCTTCTCAGTGGGCTTTTTACTCCTTTCCTTGGCCTCGAATCCATCCCAACCTCCTCCTGGATCCCAGAGCAGCACTGTCTCCATGGGCTTGGGATGCCAGAGACATCCCTGCAGTGTCCAGGCTCTGAGCAGCAACCACATTAAAGGAGGATGTCCCAGGAGCAGACTGTCCACCCACTCCCCAAGCTGGGGCGAGCTGGCACAGCTCTGGAGCCGGCAGAGAGGGTGGCCGGAGATGGGGTCCCTCATTCCTCACCAGGGTCCCTGCTGCAGCCTGCGTGGTGCCCGGCCGCTCTCGGCAGTGGGGGTGGAGCACCAGTGAGTGATGGATGAGGGAGGATGCCTGAGCCGGGCTGGCGCTCGCCCCGCTCCCAGGATGCGCCTGCACAACCCGGCGCTCACTCTGCAAGCTGGACCAGGCTGTGATTGTCTTGGCTTGACTTGAAGGACTTTCTCATATAGTTTGACTTGTTCTTTTCGGATGATGAATGGGACTCTGACTTCAGCAACATCTGTTTATTTTTCTTGTATGTAAAACCTCATGTGCAGAAGAAATTGCTGGGTAATTACTGGAGAGGGGGAGCATGGCCCTCCAACTCCACAGCAGCTCTCCAAAGTGATCCCATCCCCTTCTCAAAAGCAGGAGACACCTGGGCACAGTTACCCTCACAGGACATTCACCATATTTCCCGGCACTACCCAGCACTGTGAGGCTCAGCCCACACCAGCAGGTCCTTACAAGCAGCAGCAAACCCGCAGCCCGGGCTAACAGCTCCGCAGGACGCCCCGTGCCAGGCCCTGCTGCCCTCACACCCGCCTGCTCCTCCAGGCCACGCGGCTTCTCCCCCTCTGTCTCCGCTCCCCAACGCTGCGCTCGCGCTGCTGCACCAGCTGACCAGATGGACCAACGCGCCGCGAGCCGCGTCCCCAGCCGGGACCCTCCCAGCCCAACCGGGCACTCTGTTTTCATCCTGTTACTCAAACACTGTAAACAGAAACACTGACTATTCTGATGTCAGGTTGTTAATGGTTTCCACATGCTGCACGGGCTGGGACATGGCGTTTGCCTCCCCGTGCCCCCCAAGCGCTACCGAGGGGCGCAGAGGGCTGGAGCCCCGCTCCTGGCCGGGGCGATGCCCCAGCACGGCCCCAGAACTGGGAGGGTCCTGGGCACAGGGGCCCGTGGGAATGAAAGCACTTGACAAAAGAAAACAGCCCTGCAGCTGCCATGGCCATTGCTCCCTGCAGGCACGAGCACAGGAATGAGACAAAACTGGCCTTGGCCCCCAGCCCGTGGGCAGGACGCGTCTGGGCTCCCTCCCATCCTGGGCACATGAGCTCCTGCAGCACCGAGGCCGGAAGGTTGCCTGTCGCTGCCACATCAACACACCTCAGGTGCTTTCCAGCCCAGGACAGCCCCTGGCACTGCCTGGCTTCCCTGTACACCGTGTCAGACTAAACCCTTCGGTTTATTCCTCTGAGCATCTCCCTGACCGCTGCCATGCAGGAGGATAGGGCCAGGCTCAAGGAGACAGGAGCTGTGGCACTGTGTGACCTCGGTGTCACTGATCTGATCGGGTGAAGCCGAGGCTGCGCGGTGTGCCACGGCGGGGACAGCAGCAGCCTGGACCAGCTGGGAGCAGCTCATCCCCGCGCAGGCAGGGTGGGTAGAAAATGATGGGAAGGTTTTGTCAGACCACCAGCTTTTCCACCTTCTAGATTTATGACTCACAGCCTCAAAAATCCCAGAGGCTTCCTCCCGTGCCGCACACTGGGCTGCGCTGAGGGCTCATCCCCCACATCTGCCATGAGCCATGGGTGCTGCTGGCACATTGGCCACCCCCGTGAGGGTTCTGCCAGCCCAGGCACTCGAGCCCAGCCCCAGGGGCACCCATCACCCCCTTTTGGCAATGACAAGACCAACCCCGGCACCCCATGATAGAGTTCATGCAGGAAACAGGGATGACCACCCACGGTCCCCAGGGTGTGACTGCGACCGCGACGTTGGGGCTGCATACCGTTCTCTGCTGCTCGCTTGAGGTTCTCTATCATGGTGTCGTAGTGAATCCGGCACAGCACCTTCTCCTCCACCAAGCCGAACTCCTCGCCGGTGGAGAGCTGCCGTTTGCAGGAGAAGCAGGGGCAG